TGCAAGGAACACAAGCAGAACTAAAGCACGCAGGGAGCACTGCTACTTATTTACACTTGTTTCCCCTGAATTTTGGTTAATTAAAAGGCTCCGTGGTTTATCTGTGTTTTAGCTAATTGGCCACACAGTTTACAGTGAATTTCATTAGCAAAAGAAACCACTTCAGTTGGGGTGGCGGGGTGGGCCATGAGGGGCTTGGAGGAAGGTGGTGATTAAGAGAGGGAGCTTATTTGCAGCGAGGGGGGTGGGGTACTTTTGCTTTAAACATTATACGGAGCTACTCAGCGTGTTGCCACCAGCATGTTTTAACCCAGTTTTATTATACACAAACATACAGAAATAAACATGATGATTCTCTAATTAATCTGACTTACATACTGAAACACATAAAGGTGTAATGAACTGTGTTAACTTTTCCAAACAACACTTACACTGTCTAGAAAAAAACGCAAAAAATACACGCTAACAAAAAACAAAACAAGTGAGGGGTATTTCAAGCTCACCCTCTCTAACAGAACAACTGCTTCACTAAGAGGCATTTATTAACCGTAAGTGTGTGGTGCTGATGCAGGGGATTTCTGCACCTGTGCAAAAACCTAGCCTGAAGCCAACAGAGTGTCCAACTGTTGCTGTTTTGACAGGGGCCATCCATAAACACACTGCGGTGAACTTCTTCCTTTGAAATGCGAACTAAATCAGACTGAAGACTAAGAGAACAACAAAAAGGAGGTACCTGTATAAATGCATCTGTCAGTTTGTATTAGAAGCTAGCCCCGGGACTGGAAAAAACAGTGTCTTGATTAGAGGACTAAACTGGTTTGAGAAACTCACACTATTATCTATGTGGGTCCAAATCCTAGGACTTCAGGCTCTCTAATCACCCAGAGGTGTCAATAACTACTGTAAATAAGTATTGCTGTTCAATCGTCACTTGTTCTTGTTGGGAAATTATCAAGAGAGGTGTGGGTGTGGGAGGAATTCTACCAATTTGAATTATCTCATGATAGTTTGGCAAAATCCTTCCTACAGGGAAACAAATCCTTTTGATTTCCCTAAGACTCAGGAGTCCAGACTGATATCTAAACTCATCAGTATGACAATGCACTCCTCAAGACTCGACTATCTAAACTTTGGGGTAAAGTAAGACTATTTTCTTATTCAACTAATAACACAGCCATGTACAATAGCTTAAAGGCACACAGCTCTATTCACTTATCCTTGTGAAAGAATTCAAAAGACGTTTCACTGAGAAAACTCAGTCACTGTGTAAAAATGTGACACATGCAAAAACACAGATATAAAATACACTAAAAATTACCCATAGTATAATATAAATAGCAGATTTTTAATTTCTTAGTCAGAGGACCATGCTATTTTTTTGTATGAAGACGCAACAGTGATGTTCTGTGACTATTGCACTCTGGGAAGTAAAAGGTTAAACTAAATATCAGTAGTTTGTGTTAAGTCATTGAATACAGTACACAGAGATGTACTGGGCATGTCAAGGTATTCATCAGGGTCCACTCTGGTCTCTCATCCTCCCCACCAAACCACCTCTCTACATCAATATTCTAGTATGCACAATCTCATCCTATTCTGTTTTATCATATTCAGCAGCAAAGTGCAGCGTGCATGTGTGTGCACATCATGGCGATAGCCTCTCTGGTGAAATAGGGCTCTCTGGGGGCTTGTGTCTCAACTCTACAGCCTTTGTGAGCCCCCATTACTTCTGACAGATAGAGATCACAAAACTGCTGAACAAACACCCCATTCAGTAATTAGCATACATTACAGTAATGGAAAGAGAAAAATGTATCAGTAAAGCCAAATGAAGTGCTTCCACCAAGTTAGTTCTGGCTTCTTAGTCTTCGTTTTCCTCTTTGTCCTATGATTGAGATCTGAATGCACTGAAGTCAGTGTTAAGCTCAAGAAAGAAGTTGATTTGAGCTTTGTGTCATGTTACCCTGCTAGAAAGAAATGATGACATTGTGGTCATAAGGGGATGCACATGGTCAGCAACGACACTCAGGTAGGTGGTGGCATATTAAGGAATGATACCGGACACTTAAATTCTCCCTTAAACTAGAGTAACAGAGGCAGGAGTTTACCAAAGCCAACAGGACCCAAGAGACAGTCCAGCACAAAGTAACAGGATGTAAGCTGCAAGCTGGGACAGCATAAACTGAGAGGCACAACCATGTAGCTTGAATAGTGTGCAGGAACATCTGTGCTGCATATGGACTAGAAGTCCCAAAGTACTAGAGGGAGACACCACAGAAGGTGGTCAAGAACATGGGCTGAAGTCCCATGAGACTTCAAGTTCCAGACTGACAAGCAGTTGCTGGCCAACCAAGCAGACACAGTGATGGTTGATAAAAAGCAGAGGACTGCAGTTGTGATAGATGTAGCAATTCCAGCTGACAGCAACATCAGAAAGAAGGCGCAAGAGAAAATTGAGAAGTACCAGAGCTGAAGAAACAACTGGAGCAGATGTGGAAGGTAAAAACCAAAGCCATTTCAGAGGTAATAGGACTATTAAGAGCTTTATCCCTCAAAATAGATGAGCAGCTCCAGCAGTCCAGTCCAGGCACATCAGAGGTCTTTTACTGGGAACAGCTAAGATATTGTGCAGACCCCTAAAACTCCCAGGTCTATGATAGAGGACCATTATTTCTATGTAACTTTGATTATACAGTCTCGAGCGGGGTATCATGTTGAAAAAGTCCATCTATTTACCTCTTTGTTTTACCTCTATTTTTATCAAGTTGTCACTACACTTTTTAAAACCCTGCAGGGTTTTTTGCTAGTTAAAGATGAAAGACATACAGACTGGAACACAAGCATATGTACTCACCTACACATCCAATGTAAATTACCTTCCCATTTTCTCTGCATCTCTCTCTAGCACACACACACAAGCACACACACACAAACGGAGTCTGACTAATTCATCACAGTGCCCAGCCGTCAAGACAACAGAGCTTCGCTTAACTTTTTCAGGGTTGCTCAAGCATCAAATGCACGACTTTTAGATGTTGTTGTTCTTCCATCTGTCATGCTTCAAGGAACCAACATCCTTTTCTTTAATCCCAGCATAAAGTTTAAAAAGGTATGTTTCCCTTGATTGTGCTATCTTATGTACAGCAAAGGAAATGTCAACCCCCAAAATACGGCCCTGTATTTCACACTGTCACTGTTCCAACACTCGGCATTAAAGTGCCCCCTAAGCTCATAGCAAACGCTGGTACTACAAACTTCAGTGATTCAAGCAGTCTCCACTTTCAATCTCTCCTTATGGTCCATATGCATGTGGATTCATTCCATCACAATGCTCATTTACACAAAACAGTCCAAGATCTGATATCTGAGGAGATTTAATGTGGTAGCAAAATCTGAGAAAAGAGCTAAATTAACACAGACGCACACAGACACATACAGGCAAAGGTTTCCCTCTGTATCAGACCCCCGAAATCAATTCTCGGAATGAACAGTGCAAAACGTAATTTACTTCGACGTCCTGATAATATGCACTGTGCTACAATAAAACAACATATATATATTTTATAGATCCTAACATGTTAACACAAAAGAATGCATGAAATACTGAAAATCACATCCTTTTTTATTCTCACAGTTATTCGGGAAGTAACTTTATAATCAACGATGAATACAACACTGCAAAATAAAATATAAAATATAACCATGTCATTGTTCCAACCTTTAGCAAAGTAAGACACAAAATCTGTTTTACTGCAGTAAATCTGTATGAGCGTCATTCCTAGGACCACAGCATGGTCAGGTAGGATGGGTAGGGGTGGGTGGGTGTGTGGGGTAGGGGTGATGTTTCAGGTCATGGCCAGCCAGTTTCTCTTTGCCATTCTCTGGGGAGGAACTCCAGACAGTGAAAAGGAACCATACTGCAGTACATCTACACTTCTCCATTTCCTCTCACTCAAGCCTCTAGTTCTCAACGGAGCCTGGGAATCAATACTGACATTGGGGGAAAGAGCAGCTTTCTTGCCTGCCTGCTCTGCTTCATATAGTAGCTGCCGCCAGGGAAGCCTCTGCATCAGTTTTTTCTTTTTTTAAATGTAAAAATGTAAATGTCCATCTCTGGTTTGAACAGATTTTTAGGGACTATTGCTCTCGTCCCTCCAATTGTGTTGATTTAGCCTAAATAGATATCAGATAAAAGGAAGTAAAGATAATGTTATATGTTAACTTTTGTGTGAGCCCCTAGCATATGGAAACACCCACTCATGTTTTAAATTACTCGAGAGTAATCCTTTCTTTTCTTTATAACATTAGAGACAAACATAGGCTATCCTGCTGACTGCTTCACTGTGTTTTTCCCCATGAAAGGCACCTTAGCCTCAGGGTATTGACAACAGACTTGATTTTCACTATTGATCAAACCTATACAGTGAGAACCTTTCCTCTCAGAAAGGGCATTCAAGAAAGTGCAGAGACATGGCTAATTCAATTTGGGACTAGAGATGCTTGGGTGTAAGTGAAACACTCTGTTATCAAAACAGGAGAGGTGTCATGAGAAAAGAGTTCGTGGATGGCTGTGTGGAGAGGTTTGTGGTCGGCCAAAAGATGAAATCAGGAATAAGCGATAAGTTGGTGTGAGGGGCCAGAGTCCCTATTAGAGGTCCCCGGGGGACAGGCAGCAGTGGCAGAGTGAAGTAAAAATAGCCACAGGCATGATTTCACTCTTGGGACCCAGGGAGGACTGAAGAGGGAGATCTGATCAGCGTCTCACAGCAAGGCAGCCAGATCCATTCCCCAAGTTCCCTAGGGTGCCACCTATCACACCAAGTGACTTAAACTGCTTACCACAGCCAGGCTGAACACAAACAGCACACACCTTTGCCACTGCTCGCTACAAAATAGGACAAAGAATGTCCTAATATTGCTCAAAGCGAATGTTGTTAGGGAGCAAATTTACGTCCAAACCTGTGTATTGTCTTGGAATGAACACAATAAAAAAAGGATATAGACATCTTTTCCACAAACTTATCTTGTTCATCGGCTGTTTTGGGGAAGTTTTCGATGTCATTCTCAAGCCTCTGAATGTGCCGTTCCATGTTGGTCAAACTGCTTTTTAAGATCTCGGCGGACACTGTGGAAAAGTGAAAACACACACAATAAGCTGGTTAGTATCAACAGTTGAGCGGCTCTTGCTCCATATAGGAGTAACCCATGATGAAAACAACACATCCCTGAAAACGTTAAACATTTAAACAAACATATCTACCGCAGAGGGAGACCGATGTGACATACTGACTCCACATAATCCATCTGCGTATGGCCTAGAAAAGTGAGCACGAGTGGTAATATGTGTGCACATTGGGTGTGTGTGCCTGTCTGCAGTGGCTCATTAATCAGTCTGTAATCACTGCTTGCAGAGTTGCTGTGGAATCCACTATATTCAGATCAGGCCTTTCAAGTAGAGACTTCAAACAGCATGCAGTGTCTTAGGGGATCAAATGGGACAGGAGCATGGATGCAGTGGCATGTTTAGGTTCCTGTAAAGGGTTTAGTTTTATTGACACACAAATTCCAGTTTGCTCAAACTGAACATATGTCATGTTGGTTAAATGGTATTGCCCAGTTTGAGAAAGGAAAGAAAAATAGGCTGATCAGAAAGCCAGTAACTAACTTTCTTTAATATCAGAGGAATGAGGAGATGGTATAAAGAGCACATGACTAAAAGTATCTCTGTTTATTTGTTTTTATTTAAGCTGGCTTTGAGCTTCCTGTACACTGTAAGCACCGAGCCTTTTGAGAACTAAAAGAGAAACAGTTGACAAAAATACTGTACTGTACTGAGAAGAAACATCTTTGTATAAGAGTAGTTAGAAGTGAAGCTGGTAGTGAACCTACGTGAAAGAGGGTTCGTGGGTCAGCTAAACATGGGTTTATTTTACTTTCTGAGGATATGTAAGTTGAAGCTACATTCATGAAGTCACTGACTGGACTTGCACAACAGGAAAGGACACGAGGTCACAAGAACCTCTGGGATTCTTCATCTTAAGAGTCTCAGCTTTCATTCCAGTCTAGCTTTGATTTTTCACAATGTTGACTAAACACAAGCAGATGAAACTACCTACTCGGCAGAGTAACATGTATCCTGCTGATTAACAGGTCTTGCCAGCTGATATCTTATAGGTTATATGTTATTTGAATGGGCCATCCAGTTCTACTTTGCATGAACTCGTTATTATTTGTTTCAAGTACAGATTGAATACAACAACCCAGGACAACTTTTAATATTTGGCACCACTTTGACATCTGCTGAGTGTTTACATCCTTTTGTCTGTAACTGAAGAGAAATAGAAAGCTGTGGCAGGTCTCACTGACATAAGGGTCAACCTTGTCTTGCTTTACATCAGTTCCACAGCTCGAGTTTGTCCTCTCTCATTTTCTGACAATAAAATTGGATAGCAATATTGTGGATCGCATGCACTTCCACTACACTGTCTGACACAAACACAAAGGGTGTCTAAGCTGCATTTCCATTAGAACACACACCCATACACAGAAATTGCCTATTGTGATTGGTCTAGAAGCAATGCAGGGAGAGTGATGGGTGAGGTCACTGTCATTATTAGACTTTTCAGCTAGCTAGCTGCGTAGACTGGGAGACTCACAATCCCTCCTTCTCAATTCTGGTAGAACTGACTCCTGGGAATGACACTGAGAAGACCACACTATCACACAGTCTGTTTCTCGACTGATAGGGCCCCTGAGATCCACATGTGCTTGTCACTTTGATCTCAGACTTACTAATGGTGAAAAAGGAAAGCGAGCAGTGGACAGATGAAGCAAGAGGCAAAACAATTAAATTCACATCAAGCCACTGGGAATGCGTTTGTCATTTATTATGGCTTATGATCGGTTTTTTTGTGGATTGAGTGACAGTACTGACTAATGGCTTGGCTGAAAAACTGATCATAGGAACCAAGCATAGTGTTTTTTATGAGATCAGAGAGGGGTCATAGGAATTCAAAACAGAAACGTTAACATGGGAAGTAAACCAGATGGGAAACAAGTGAAACCCAGCTACATAACAGATTACTTGCATACATGCATTTAGCATTAAATTTGTAGCTGTAGGCCACTTTATACTTTTCATAAATTTGTATATGTAAGTAGAAAATCCAGCATTGATTCTTATGGGATGTCATTAGCTACAGTGATACCTTCTGTACGCTGAATACATGTTCCAAGTGGATGAGTGGAGAAATAAAGAGGGCAGGTAGGTATATATCATACACACAGAAGCGAGGGATGAGTGATGTGTGGCGATGTAGGAAGAAAAGAGAAAGTAAAGAAAAGACAAAAGCCATTTTAAAGTGACGCTCTAAGCTGTATGAATTACAGAGTGAGGGGAAAACTGCGGACGACATCCTTAATTTATTGACATGAGCTCGGTAAAACTGGCCATTGCGGCATTAGTCATTCCTCAGAACAAAAGGCAGACAAAATGTATTTCATCGCGTTTTGCCTTGTTTCCCTCAAATAAACTGCCAGGGAAAAATACTGTGTAGCTCACGATACCAAATCAACCGCTATAATGCGAAGATGTCAACCTTCTATTCAGTCATCTGTTGAGGGGAGCAATTTTCATTTTGATTTATTGACAAATAATACCAATCATTCAACTAATGCTCTTGCAATGCTGCCAAAGGTTACAAAGGAAATAGAGATTTATTTTGAACATCGCTGCCAACGCAGCATAAAAGATCAAGTTTTAAATAATCTAAAGACTTATGAAAACAAAGACAAATGCAACATAAATCCTTAAGAGAAGGTCATTGATAAATACATTTATTCCTTTAGCAAAGTAAGTGTGTGTTGGAGAGGATATGACACAGGGAAAAGGGACACACAGAAAGGATGCACAAACACAGACTGCATAGAAGCATTTTTCAATTTTATATGTTGATTAGGTTTAAAAATGATCTCTTAATTAAAATATATCTCAAAAACTAATGACAATCCGATCGTTCAGTCTGACGTCACTAGCCGTGTCTGGGTCTAAACTCCGCTGCAGGTCCATATATCAAACGATCACTATGGCATTACTGAGAGTTGAAAAGCTGTCTAAAGTCTTTCATCTTTAATAAAATGATCAGGAGTTAGCTCGCTAGCTTCTATCTAAATACAATATAGCATGTCCTGACTGCGGGGTTTTGGAAACAAATTAAAACGTACAGCTCTGCTATCACTTCCAGCATAAATGAAGACAGAAAACTAAACAGCAGTGACGTTTGTAGGGTTACTGAAGTTGGGCTAGCTGGTAGCTAATGATATGCTATGTGACCGCTAGCGACACAGCTATGTTAGCATAATATAAGCAAGCTAACTTTTTTTCCACTGATAAAAGTTAACGTGAGTGTTCTCGGTGGTCAGGAACAAATGTAATCGCATGGCAGGATGCTGTAAAAGGACCAAACTTCAGCCAGGAGAACAACTTAGATAATCCATCCACAATACGAGGTTAGTCATTCATATACTGCTGCATGGGCTGGGCTGTAGTTACATCCTAAGGTTTTAAAAACTGAGCTTAAATAAATGATTAGTGGTAATAAAAGCCGAGGGAGGTCAACAGGGATCACTGACTGTTTTAGGAGCTCTTTGAGATCAAATAGAAGAAAATACAAAACATTAAACATGTTAACAACACAAAAGCCATATTAAACGCAGACTACTTTAGGCCCGGAAGTAGGATTCGTCACGTCATCACTTAATAATCGGATAAGTATAAAACACTAAAAAGTCAAATGTTATATTGGATCAATTTAACTGAAATTCATGTTGCTGGGAGGAATGAAAGTTTAAAAAAATGGCTGCCTTTCTTTACAGTGACAGCCGAAGCTATTCTCATTTGAATCAACTTGTTTTTCCATTGCATTAATTCTCTGTGAATATTTGAAATCTGCAAGTCTAAGAGGTACAGTAGTGGCTATTATAATAGCACTTCATATGTGGAAAAATATTCCAGCCTCTGGAGATTATAGGCGTTAAATTCTTCGAGAATCCAAAACAGTTTTAGGCATGCTTGCATTTTTACCCACGCAAAGCTCTCACCATTTCATTGACTATGCAACATGTAAAGACAGGATGACCTTCAGTAAACTCTTCACATGACCAGCTACACATAATATGTGCTGAAAGGTATATTCATCACATCAGAGTAAAATTGGTTATTGATCAGCGCAATACTACCAGTCAAGACAATGACTGATTGTGTGTGTTTCTAAGTAGGTGTTGTACACATTAGTGCTACTTCAAATACCTCTACTTTAACATGACCAACAATTTTCCTTTATCTTTTTCTTTAGTCTCGGTGGCACCTGAAAGCGAATAAGAGATGAAGTGGGAGACAGACTATTGTACAGCAGAGGAAAGCTACAAGAGGATAAACACAACTGCATGTGTTTCCTTTTCAGGAGGAATCAAAGCAGCTCAGGTTGCAGTACTGAAAGTGATAGTGTTGCTGTGACAACATAGTCACATTGTTCTTTCTGATTACCTTGCATCATGTACTCCTAAAAACAGCAGGCAGGAGAAAGCCGCAAATGAGTAAATTTAATGGACAGCATAAAGTTGGAGCTCAGGATTACCTGTAAATATTAGGGTACAATTTGAAACCATTGGAAATGATAATCTACCTTTGGTATGGTTTCCCGTTGTTTACTAGAACAAAAGATAGCTTCTTTAGTGATCTATTCATGTGTGAACAATTAAAACACCAGTTTGTTGAATTATTTAGATGCATCATATGGATAAACGATATTATTACTTTCACTCAGAGGGCAGGAAGTACCACAGTGTGCAAAAATAGTCACAGCTGTAATTTTCCATCAATCTTACACTAATTGTTTGCACATAAAAGGATGAAACCTTCTTGCTTTTGCTCTATTTCCTCTTTTAATTTGCATTTTCCTTAAAGCACTCATGCAGAAAAACTGTTACCATAATGAAGGATTTGTTTGCCTGATTGTAATTGATGACCCCCTGAAGAGTAAAATCAGAAGGTTTAAATTCGTAACGGTTAATCTGGAAATCCTTGCTATGATCACTTCTGAACAGAGGCCTCAGATGTTAAGCCTG